TAAGAGAGGGGGTAGATCACAAAAGAAGTGGTTAATCACATTTGATCTATAGGATGGGATCTCAAGAGCTAAACACAAGTGAATCAGAGAACACACCATCCCACAGAGGTAGCAGCAAGACACCAGCTCCATACAGAGATTCCAGGACATGGTGACCATGTACAACAGTGGGTTGCAGATGGCCACAAAACGGTCATAAGCCATCACAGCCAGCAAGAAGACCTCAGTGATTGCATAGGTACAAAACAAGTAGAATTGCACCATGCATCCCAGGAAAGAGATGGCTTTGTCCCTGTTTAAGATATTGGACAGCATCTTTGGCATGATGATTGTGGAGTAGCAAAAATCCACAAAGGACAAGTGGCTGAGGAAAAAGTACATGGGAGTGTGAAGTTGAGAGCTGACCTGAATCACTGCAATCATGCCCAGATTTCCTGAAACAGTGACTCCATAGATGAGAAGGAACACCAGGAAGAGGAAGACACTCAGCTCAGAGGCATCTGTTAATCCTAGAAGAATGAATTCTGTCACAGAGGTGCAGTTCTCCTCCTTCATTTCTACCATGTGTCAGGCTTAGGAAAACAAATGTTACATTTTGTGTTTCTTCTAATAAGGGAGTAAAAACAGATTAATAATAACTTCAGAATAATATAGCATCGCTATCAAATACTGTATTTATAAGAAATAACAAAAACACAGTTGTCAAATAATTCAAAATTTTAAATGTCTCAGTGGATCCCACTGATCAAAATTGTCTTTGGCATCAGGAGAAAACTTAAATGAACCAAACTTTATCTATCACAATGCATTGAGATGATTAAGTTCAGTTATTTGATGAAATTTAAGATTGATTTAATGATATATTTCAACCCATATAGAAATTACCTCTGTTCTGCAGAAACTTAATAAGCTCTGTCCAGCAGAACGACACCTACTGTGATTCTCAAAAATATTCTTTTATTTTTTAGTTGAGTTTATCAGGAACATAAATTTGAAACAAAGTTTTCTAATATTCCATTTTGGAGAAGTGTGACATTTTTTTGAGGTTTGTGGCTCACAAAAACCCTTAAAATTTGAATTATTAAAGGAGATTTAAGATATACTTTGAAAGTGAGAATATTACCTATCAAATTAGCTGTCTTAGTCTATTATAATACTAATTATCTATGTTAATAAAGACTCAGAAATATAGAACTCTTGAATACATTATTTCTGGAAAGAAAAGTGGCAGCATATGTTCAAAGTCTTAACCCTGACAACAATAAAATCTATACAGTATTTTTTTATGAGAGATTGTCTTCTTAACAAGCTGTTGTAAGAAATAGTTATACTTATAACATTGTGAAAAACTATGTTCAAAACTATATTGCAGTACTGTTTATAATATTAACAAAGAAAAATTTAACTCTCAAATAAAGCAGTTGTTAAACTGTGGTCCATCATATCTAGGACATAGAATCATCATGTTATTTAAAATTACATTTTGAAGGTGGTAAATTAAAAAAAAAGGACACTGAATAGTACACTTGGTGTATATATGTAGATGTAAATAAAGAGGTATGAATGCATATCATAGAGATCTATCTGTAACTTAAAGATGAATCCTTTACCCACATAAAAAAAAAAAAGTGCCTGAAAACTCTCCCAGATTCTCTAAGTAGTTGGTTGGGAGAAATGTTTACATTGATTATCACATAAGGGGGATTGAGACCCCTTGAGACCTTTCCTCAAAGAAAAGGCAAATAGAAGTTTAGGGGTTCTATTCTCTGCCCTACCTTCTAGACAGCAGAAGGAGTATACTCGTGACCTCTACACATGTATGTAATGAAATTTAAGTGAAGAGGTTCTGAACTGAAAGCATAACTTGCATTCTTCACCATAACTTGAATAAACTTTAAAGACGGGAAACATATCAATTTCCTGAAGTCATGTTTATTTGTTTTCATTATGTGGCCAAGAACAAAAACAAAACAAAATACCTGAGTTAATTTGCCTGCTTCTTCCTAATATTCTAGGCTGATAATCAGAAACTATTTCATGGCAACCCCAAAACAAATCCAAAAGAATTAATCTCATTTTCTGAGCAGGGAGAGTTCACAAGTCCTGACTGTCCATGACCATTTGGCAGGCATATAAATGCAACCCTCAGCATTATTAGGACAATGAAGGAGCTCCTCCATGATCATAAATTCTTGATTTCATGACAGAAATGGGTCTGAAAGAAGGTTTTAGGAGGAAACAGAAAGAGAGAGAGAGAAGAGGGCTACCATTTGCTTATTCTGTATTCTTTCATACACACCCATGTTTGATGTAACAGAGAAAATTGTTCTAAATTCACCATTAAGTGTTTCTGAATACTGAAAGCAAAAACATTTTAAAAAGTAACTGCACATTAATAGAAATCATATAAAAACATTCTCTAAGAAGAGAGATAGTTCAATACATCTTTAAAATAATTGTTGACAGGGAACATATATTCTTTTTTTTTTTTTTCAAGTAACCAGAGGCTACTTCTAGCTAGCAGACCTGAGTGGCAGACACTTTGTCTTTGGCGCTGAAGATGTTAAGGTGTGTACAACAGAAAGAAACTTATACTGCAATTTAAGCTCCTGGGAAATGGGCCCCTTAGGCTCCAAAACAATTACTAATCTCTAAAGGTATAACAAAATATATAAAAATTAAACCTAGACTACATGTGATATAACACAACTAAAATAACATGAATATTTCTTAGGAATTCTTCCTTTCTTATAACATGATAGAATCCCCTAGATTCCTGTAGGACACAGTGACTAATGCTACATCAGAATTCCTTTAAATACCTACCATAAGAGTAACAATTCTACTGGTCAGAAAACTATATAAGATATCAGACTTATTTAGCTCTTGCTATGTGTTGGAAACTATTCTAAATATTATTCAACTATTAATTCCTTTTTGCTTCCTAGTAACCAGCCAAGAAACAGTTCTGGGTTTCATGCCTATCCTACAAGGGAAATGATGGAGACACAGACAGTTGCCACTTGGATCAACTCAAAATAAGTTGCCCATAAAGGTAATTGCGGCCCTCTGGTTTTTCCACTCATATGAATGTATGAAAAAAGAGAACAAACCCAGAGAGATTTCTGAGGCTGCACTTTTTCAGTGCATGTCCAATGCTGGAAGCCATCGAATGGGACTACATTAGTTAATCTGTTCTAGGTGTGTTCTTCTGACTTTATAATATCAATCTAGGCCACAGTATTTTATTTGTGTCTGTTTATCACAGGAAGCCCGATGCGGGACTCGATCCCAGGTCTCCAGGATCATGACCTGAGCCGAAGGCAGATGCTCAACGACTGAGTCACCCAAGCACCCCTCTATGAGGTCATCTTATAAAAAATATTACTAGTACTAGAGAAATTTAATCCTTCCTAATAGACACAATAATCTAAGCTTGATTACTTGTTTTTATATATTATAATTAAAAATGACAGTTAATTTAAAATGACATTTAAAGAAAGCAAATTGGATCTCAATTTTTTTAATTATTTATTTATTTGAGAGAGAGAGAGAGAGAGAGCACCAGCTGGGGGAGGGGCAGGGAGACGAAGAGAAGCAGACTCCCCCCTGAGCAGGGAGCCTGATACACGGCTCTATCCCAGGACCCTGAGGTCATGACCTGAGCCAAAGGTAGACCCTTAACTGACTGAGCTACCCAGGCGCCCCTGAATGGCTCTCAATATTTACAAGAAATCTAATCAATTATTTTATGAAAACTGCCTAAGGAGTTCTGATGAAGAGAATTGAGATAAGAATTTGATGAAGTGGCCATATAAATTAATAATATATTTATGCTGATAGATGATAAAAAGGAAGCATAAAACATAAGACATGAATATATTTTATTTGTTTTTGTTCCCAATATTCTGAGAAACAAGCTAATATTTCTAAAATTGTTGTAAATATTTGTGTCTTCCACACTGGGATTCTTTCTGAAAGAATTAAGAATAGTAATTTTATTTTATGTAAATTTTCATTCCCTCAAGCACCTAACATGATACCTTGTATGCTTACGGCATAAAATAGTAGCTCAAAAATATTGTTGAATCATTGGCTTAACTATATTGCTCACCTCTTCAATGTTGTTCATTTTCTTCACTCCCAGAAAAAACTTGTGTCTTTTTCTTTTGTTTCTCTTAAAAACTTGCCCACACTTCAAGGTCAAACAAAATATGCATGCAATTATGAAACAATCTCTGATGTCCACAGATGATCCTAAACTGTGTCTCTCCACCAAACCTCTTATGATACTTGCTAATAACACTGGCTTGTGAGGTTCTTGAATATGAGTTTATGTGTATCTTTCTTTGTCATCTATTTCACTAAGTTTAAAATACAAAAGTGGTTATTTAACACCTACAACCTATCAGTTAGCAAAGAAGAAAAGAGAATAGAACTAGAATTTATTGCACATATAATATATACCAAATATATTGTCTACATTTCATTTTGTCCCATACACCGCTTTATGAACTACAACATAATTATATCACTTTTGTAGATAAAAGCTGGCTCAGATAAATCAGTTGGTCTGGCTTATAATATCAGAGCCAGGTGTAAGTTCTCTGACCTAAAATTCGTATCATTCCATTTTAAATGTCCTGCTTTTTTGAAAATCTGAAGTGATTTTTTATTTTTTTAATGAGCTTGGGGCTCCTGGGTGGCTCAGTCAGTTGAGCATCTGACTTCAGCTTAGGTCATGATCTGAAGGGTCATAGGATTGAGCACCTGCTTCCAGCTCAGCGGGGAGGCTTCTTGTCACCCTGTCTCTCCCCCTCTTCTCATGCATGTGTTCTCTCTCTCTCAAATGAATAAATAAAATCTTTAAAAAAAATGAGCTTGATACACAGATCATTCAACAATCACAGAAAGATGTTCGATAGTAACAGAAGTATGTTTTTACCAATGCATGAATTCAATATGAATTCATTATTTTCTGACTTTTCTTTGATGTCTTTATTTCTCAGGTTGAGATGAGGAGATTCAACATGGGGATCACCACTGTGTAAACACAGATACCATTTTGTGTGCTTGGAGTTTTGGGAGTTATGGCACATAGTAGGAGAAGAGAATGGTGCTGTGGAAAATGCTAAAGGCAGTCGTGTGTGAAACTGACAGATCGAGAAGATTTTGTGGTGCCCAACTGCTGAATGCATCTGCAGGCTGATGGCAATGAAAAACACTTAAGACAGGAGAATGAAGAGCAGTGTGCTCACCTCATTAATAGTCATGGCAGTGAAAAGAAGTAACTGGTTGTGATAAGACCCAAAGCAAGAAAAAGACTTTAGTGAGGAGATCTAACAGAAGAAGTGATTGATTGTGTTGAACCACAAGATCATCCAAAAGCAGAACATGTGAGGATCAAGAAAAATGTTACTCTTCCTGAGTTTGATACAACCACTAGTATGGCACAGGGTTTCTGGGACATAACAACTGTGTGGTGGGAAGGGTTGGGAATGGCCATGAAGCTGTCATACACCATCATAGCAGAGAGAATTCATGCAATAAGCACA